GTTGCAGGATTTGCTCATCCTCAAATACAACCTTTAGTGGCAAAGCAGGAAGGGAAAAACCCCAAAGACCAGGTAGCCGTGGAGAGCTGTGTTTCTGGGTGGAACAGAGGCTGCGCGGGTGACAGCACAGAGCGAGCCTGGACACGTGGGAGGGGGTGGGGAGCACAGGTGGCCTTCGGGCTGGGTCAGGAAGCAAATGGCGAGGCCAGGGGGGCAGGGGGTGTTTGAGGGAGCTCTGAGGGTCTCTTAGATGGGGCTGCAGGGGGAGGAACTGAGCCCTAGACAGTCTGGCTTTTTTTTTTTTTAAAGGTGTGTATTGTGGTATAGTGGCTAAGCCACTATTTGGGACATCCATATCCTGTATCGCAGTGCCTGGGTTCAAGTCCCAGGTTTACTTTTTCTTTTTTTTTTTTTTTAAATATTTATTTGAAAGACAGAGTTACAGAGAGGCAGAGGCAGAGAGAGAGAGAGAGAGAGAGAGAAGTCTTCCATCTGCTGGCCTACTTCCCAGACGGCTGCAACAGCTACAGCTGGGCCAGTCCGAAGCCAGGAGCCAGGAGCCCAATCCAGGTCTCCCCTGTGGTTGGCAGGGGTCCAGCCTCTTGAGCCCTTGGCTGCTGCCTCCCAGCATGCATCCGCAGGAAAATGGACGTGAACTTCTTGAAGATCCTCTCAGGGCCGTTGTGAGGACCAAGTACATTGAACACGTGTCAGTAATTTGGAATGAATCATTTAGAGCAGGGTCCATCATCTGCGGAGCGTCCACCTTGGTTGCTTGGGAAGGAGCCTGGGCTGGGAAAGGCTGCAGCAAGGACAGGCCGGCGGCTGCGCTCTCTGGGAGTCTGTCGGCCTGCGCGGGTGCGATCCAGGCCGTGTGGCTGCCAAGGCACCTCGCGTGGAAGAGAGACCATTGTGTGGCTCCAGGGTTCAGCCCGCAGCCCCTTCCCCCGCCCTCTCTTCCCATCCATCAGGCTTGAGAACTGAGGTTTGGGCGGCTGCCACAAGTCAGCTCGGTCGGTGACCCTGGACAAGTCAGTCCTCGACCCAGATTCCCGAATCCTCCTCCAGGTCTCCACCTTACCTGGAGACCGAGTCATGTCTCCCAGGCAAACATCGTCCTCACGGCAGAAACATCTTTCCGTAATCTTATTTGCAACTGCTAATGAGAAGCAGAGCTGTTCTCTGTCCTCAAACCTCGTCCTCATCTCTAATTTGTTTCCAGAGGCTTCTGCCATCATTGTGAAATATTCGCAATTATTTCTCAATTACTTCATTGGAAAGCCACTCCTGGAGATGGGGTTCTGGAAGCTGGAAGAAGCCCCAGGGGTGATGTTTGGATCTCCCATGGACCTTGCTGAGTGGCAGGTGCAGTCTACCTTGAGGCTATGCACGGTGGTGGCTGGCTCTGTCCTCCCCTACTACCTCACCTGGCCACTAGCCTGGCCTGGCTTTCCCCTGCAGGGGCTGCTGCAGGTGCCAGGTACCCTAGGGAGGTGGGGAGGGGGAAGAAGAAGGGGAGGAGGAGAGAGGAAGGGGAGAGCCTCGCTGTAGCCTCAGGAAATAGCAGCCCCATCCTCACAGCATGCACGAATCCCGTCCCTTAGTGAATGCCTTCGGTTCTGCCTTCAGAATCCATCCAGGATCTGACCGCTCCTCGCTGCGTCCACTGCTTCCTGCTTTGTCTGAGGCAACGTGACCACCCGTCTGGAAGATGTCAGCAACATCCCAGCTGGCTCAAGGCTCCCACCCTCTCAGCCAGGGGTGTTGTTTTACAGTTCTGTTTTAATGCAAGGACACAGAAGACTCTGTAGGTTCTGTACCTGCAAATTCAACCAATGGGCGGTCAAACATATTCAGGAAAACAAAATTGCATCTGTAACAAACATATACAGACTTTTTTCCTGCTCATTATTCTCAAAAAAATTGCAGTGTAACAGCTACATACCCAGCATTTACACCCTGCCAGGGATTATGGGTACTGTGCAGGTGACGTGGGTATGCGGGAGGATGTGTGCAGGCTCCGTGCGAATCCTGCATTGTTTGTTCAGGGCATTGAAGCATCCGTGGATTGTCAAGGCTTCGGGACGGGGCAGGTGTCCTGGAACCCATCCCTTGTAGACTCCGAGGACGACTTTGCATTTTTAGAGTGTTTTACTTCCTTCTAGAGATTACAGCATTCAGCCTTAATTTTTCATAGTCAATTTAGGGCGAATCCGCAGCTACTTATACAAAATAGAAACTTCTGGCAAACACTGGCCTCCGTCCTTCCCAGGGGCCATGGCTGTCATGTGTTTCATCTCCAGATGCGATAAATCCCACAAGGCAGTGTCATCATTTGTGCGTTAGTATGCGAAGGACATGAGCAGGGACTAATCCTATAATCTGACATGTTTACCCAGATACTGGCCATTTCTGGTGCTCCCTAGTCTTTCTTACAGATCCACATGTCTCTTGGGTATCATTTCCCTTCATTCTGAAGACTTGCTTCTGTATTTCTCATAGTTCAGCTCTTCTGGTGACAAAAATATCTACTTAAAAAATTCTTATTTATTTATTTGAGAGGCAAAGAGACAGACTGACCACAGTGCTAGGGACCGGGCCAGGGCTGATGCTGGCAAATGGAAACCCAATCCAGGTCTCTGATGTGGGCGGCCGGAACCTAAGCACTTGAGCCACCACCACTGCCTCCCAGGGTGTGCATTGGCAGGGGGCTGGAGCAGGGAGAGGAGCTGGGACTTGAACCCAGCACTCCCATGTGGGATGTGCAAGTACCAAGTGCTGTCTTAACCACTACACCAAAAGCCCACCGGGAAATTGTACTTTCTTTTACTTGCTTTATGTTACTCGCCTAAGCATTGGGTTCTGTTGATTGTCTAATGGAATCGCATTTTCCTAATTCCTGGTATGTGGATTTGGGATTCTATTCTAGGCATTGAGATGCTCCGTTGCAGAGACGCTGGGATTTGTTATATCCTCCCAAAGAGCACTCACACCTTTGGCAGACGATGCACTTGGTTTGATTTAATGGACACCACAAACTGCTTCACCTGTGCGAGTGGTCTCCGTCACAGCTCGTGCTTCAAGTCGTCTTGGGTTCTTTGCACTTGAGGCTCAGGAGTCAGCCAGAGACTGGGGCAGAACTGATGAACAGCATTTGGGCCTTTTCTGGAACCTCCCTTCCCAGGACTTCCCCCACGTCTTTCTGGTGGCTCTGTTTGCCCTGGGTTCTGTCCTCTGCTTCCTGGGGCCAGAAGATGGTGTTTTCTGTTGGTCTGTCAGCTGCTCTGACTATGCCACCACTATGCCAGCCTGCCCTCCGGGGACAGCCACAGAAGTGGTCATCTCATCTCATGCTGGCCCCTGCTTCCAAGTGTCAACATCCCTCTGACGTCTGCCTGTCTCTCTCTCTCTCTTTTTTTTTTTGGAGGGTGGGGGGTGCATTTTCCAGAACCTTCCGGTAGTTGTTTTCTGTATTCTATCCAGAATCGCTAAGTGCTATCTGTAGCGGAGTAGATCTGGAGAGAGCTCACTCCACTGTATCCAAAAAGGAACCCCCAGAGTGTTCTTTTCCGGGTGCCTGGTTGGAGTCCTGGGTCCCTCACGTCTGATCCAGCTTCCTGCTGGTGCTCACCCTGGCAGGCAGCAGATGATGGCTCAAGTACCTGGGTCCCTACCACCCACGTGGGGACCCAGATGGAGTTCCGGGGCTGCCGGCTTTGTTTGGCCTCATCCAGCGCTGGCTGTTGTGAGCATTTGGGGAGTGAACCAGCAATGGAAGATGGTTGTCAGTCTCTCTGTCTTTCAAATAAAAATGAAAATAAATTTTAAAAAAGCCATCTAACACATGGACTTTTGGAGGAAACATTCAAGCCACAGCCATGGAGTGACGCATGGAGGCTGTGCAGGTGGCTCCACAGAATGGCCACTGGGCCCCTCGTCCAGAGACCTGGGTCTCTTGGTCCTTCTGCCAGGGGAGTTATTTCTGGTCAGTGAGTCTCTCCCAGGGCACAGCTGAGCTGCAGATCTCTGTCAGGGCACACCCAGGGCAGCCCCCTCTGCAGAGCTTCCGGGAGAAAGTGCTGAGAGCGCTCCCTCCAGGCAGAGTTCTTCCAAATTGCCCGCTCCAGACCGCACACCCATGGCCGTTGAAAATATCCGTGTGGCTTCCAGTGACAGACAGACGATGGGGTACTAAACGGGTTCTCTTTTCTTAGGACAGAATCCTACCTGTGTATGGAAGTTGAAACCAACAATGTAGGGCACCTATGGCTGGCTAGACAGTGGTCTCCCTGGGTTATACAAAGAGTAAACCAGGTTTCAAAATGCAGCATAGGTTCTCATTCTTGTGCGAAAGAGAGAACTACATAAATAACGGACACTACACACGGGAGAAAGCCTGGGAAACGTGCACAGAATGCTAACACTGGTAACGGGGAGTTTAAAAATATTCTCAATTATCCAAATGGTTTTAAACAATATACGTTCCTTTTAGAATCAAATTTTAAAAGAACATTTTTTTAAAAAAGATTTATTTATTTATTTGAAAGGCAGAAGCAGAGAGACAGCAAGAGTGAGCAAGTGAGCGAGAGAGAGAGAGAGAGAGAGGTCTTCCATCTGCTGGTTCACTCCCCAAATGGCTGCAACGGCTGGAGCTGAGCCGATCTGAAGCCAGCAGCCAGGAACCAGGAGCCAGGAGCTTCTTCCAGGTCTCCCACGCGGGTACAGGGGCCCAAGGACTTGGGCCATCTTCTACTGCTTTCCCAGGCCATAGCAGAGAGCTGGGTCCGAAGTGGAGCAGATGGGACTTGAACCGGCACCCATGTGGAATGCCAGCACTGCAGGTCAGGGCTTTAACCCGCTGAGCCACAGCGCCGGCCCCAAAATTATTTTTAAAAGAAAAAAAAAAACAACCCAGGCAGACAGAAGGGAGGTGGAGTGTCGGGGGAAGCGGGGAGCGCTTGCTCTCCCGGGGCGGGGGGGGGGGGGGCTTCTCCTGGGTGGGCTGGGGGCTGGGCAGGAATGGGAGCCCTGGCAGGCCCCCTGCACTGAGGAAAGGGGCAAAGACGGCCTTGAGATGAGGCCACCCCCGGAGGCCGTCTTCGCCCTGGATTTCCGGCGCCGGAGGCCTTCAGGGTCTGGGTCCCCACAGAGCAGGACGGGGGCGGAGGGCCTGCCCCGGGGTTCAGTATTGCGTCTGCTCTCCTCTGACTTGCCGCCTCTGCGACTCAGCTGCAGTCCGGAAGCTTCCTGAGCATGCTGGCGATGCAGGGGGCCCGACGACCTTGTCCCTTACAGCTGTTCTCATTTTCAAAGAGAGCTGCCCGCTGCCACCCCCTCCCAACCTCGAGAGGGTCACTTGGGCACAGGTGTGCAGCAGCCTCAGCTGTGCCTGGGCCCTCCCGGCACCGACTAGCCCCGTCTTCCAAGCCCCCAGATGAGCAACCAGTGCCTAGAGAGGGTGACAACCGGCCCAGGGTCACACAGCAAGGTAGGGACTGTGCTTTCGGGTCTGGTTCTTGAAACACAGGGGCTTGAAGCTGAGCCCGTGTGTGGCTGGCAAGGAACTTCAGCAGCTAGCGGGATTCCTCCGCAGAGTGGAAGGTACCAGCGCCATCCCAGGACCAGCTCTGAGGATCAGCCACTGTGCCTCGCGCGGTCCCTACCTGCGGACCCCACGGAGCCCCGGCTGGGAGGAAGAGGAGCGGCCTTGTCCGGGGAGCATAAGGGGCCACTTGGAGGAGGGGCAGGAAGGCAGGAAGGCGGGCGGAAAGCGCGGGCGGCGACACACAGCCGAGTGCCAGCAGCCGGGCATCGCGGGCGCGGGGCTCTAGGTGTCAGCAGAGGCGCGGCTTTGCGGTCGGCCCGCGCGGCCATTGTCTGCGCCCGGCGCCGCCCCAGCAGCAGAAGGTGACATCTGGTGACTAATGGCCGCCCGGGCGCAGCTGCCGCGCCGCCCCCTCCCCTCGCCCCCTCGGCTCGGCTGCCTGCGCTGGGGCTCAGGGCGGGAAGAGCGACGCCCCGGGTTCCGCCAGGCCAGGGCCGCCTCCGGGCCTGCCGGTGGGGGAGGGGGGGCGGCTAGCACGCACGAGTGTCGCCTGGCGTGCGCTCCCACGGCCGCCAGGCCGCGTGGGCGCGGCTCCTCGTGGGGGGCCATTGCACACAACCATCCGAGCCCACCGTGTTGTTGGGTATAGACCAGGGCCCACGTCGGAGCCCCCCTGCACGTGCGCGAATGCGCAGGTGCAAGGCCTCACGTGCTGTCCCGCATTATACACCTGTGCTCGGGTGTGCGCGGAGGCAGATGCGCACACACTCGCCACAGCCGCAGCTCTGCATGCGTGCAGATTCGTGCTGCCCTGCGCTGCTCACACGCTCGCCCTTAGGCTAGTCCTTTACACCTAGGAAAAATGGGGGCCGCCCTCCCACTCCGCCCCTGCCTCTGACCTGGCCTAGCCCTTACCTCCCCCACTGCACCCGGGGTTAACCCATTTATGAACTACTTGCATGTAAGAAGTGACAGTGAAAAATCTGGAGATTTCACATCAAGGTCTGGATTTCTGGCTTCTTTGGCAAGATCAGAAGCCCCAGCGATGTGAGGCGAATCCTCAGCCGGGCAGTATGGGCTGGGCGGGAGCACCAAGGGCCCCTTGGCACCCTCTCTGAATTCCCTCGCCCCCTCCCTGCCTCCCACACCTCCACCCACATCCCCCACGAACAGTTGGGCTGCCAGCTCCGGGTATGGAACAGGGGCTCCCTGGGGAGCCCGTGTCTACTGTCCAGTTACCTCCCGGAGCCCAGGACTTGCTGGCCATTGGAGCTGGAATGGGAGGAACTCACACCCCTGATGCCCAAACAAGGAGAGCCCGGCTGCCTTCTCTGTGTGTGTCTCCTGTGGTCCTGCTCATCCTTGCCTCCTCTCTTGCCGTTGAGAGGACGGGTGCTGGGGAGTCCTGGTCTCACTTCCTGGAAGGAAAGTGCTGGATAGCCCTGCAGCCCCACGGCTGAGGGCTGGGTTGAATTCCCCGAGAGGCAGGTACAGAAGGATTGGCGCGGTGCTGATGTCCACTTGGGGTTCCCGGAAGCCAGCTCCTGCCTGGCCCTGGCCTGTCTGACTCCTCTCTCTGATTGGGCTGTGCCCCGCCTCCACCCTGGCCAGGAGGCCTGGCTCACAGAGAGAGAGAGAGAGAGAGAGAGAGAGGCTAGTTCCCAAGACTTCAGGGCTATCTGTCTGATGTCAAGCTCTGGCTGACTCAGCAAATGGCAGTCAAAGGAGCAGCCGGAAGCTGTGTGGGTGTTAGCTCCACCCACCACCCACCAGTCCTGATGCCCCCCGCCCCAGTCCTGCCATCCACGCGAGGGCGCTGGTTGCCTGAGAGAGCCGACACCTTACCTGATGGCTCAGCTTAGCCTCTGCTCCGTTCATGGCCCTCCTGCCAGAAGCCTGGCAGGTCCTTGACTCCCAGAATGTCCAAAGCCAGCCTCCAAGTGTAGAGAGTGCTCATGGCCTGGGCTCAGATCCCAGCTCTTGAACTCCCTGGCTTCATGACGCTGGGCAAGCCATCGCTTGCTGTGCCTCAGTTTCTCCCACTGTAAACCAAGGACCATAACCGGGCCTCTGAGTTTGAAACACAGACTCACCCCACACTTGACCATGCACGCCCTGGGCCTGGTGGTGGAGGGCCTGAGCCCTGCCCGCCGACCATGCCTGGGTCTGGAGTGGAATTGTAAGGAGTGAAGCAGGGACAGGCTTTCTCTCTCACCGTCTGTGTCTGCGAGGACCTCACCCTCAGCAGACAGCGGCTCCTCCGTTCCCAACCCAGCGCGTCCTTTCTCTCCTTTCTGCCGTTGCTTGTGCTGTAAGCGCTTCCTGGAAGCCCTCCACCCTCGTCTCCAGCTCAGCTTTGCAGCCCTGAGCTCGCCTGTTCTGGCCCTTTTCCTGCTCTCTGTTTGGTTTGTGGCCTCTTGCCTGGTGCTCAGAGCAGCCTGCTGTGAGGTTGCACACAACTCACTTATTATGGCTCAGCTCCCATGCCTCCTAGACCGGGGCTCCTCAAACCTTACTGCGCATGGCAATCGCTCAGGGATCTTTTCCCAAAGCAGCTAGCAGGTCTGGGATAGGACCCGAGTCCCTGCGTCTCTAACCAGCTCCCTGGCGACGCTGCCATTGCTGGGGACCAGACTTTGAATAAGAACTTGGTTTGTTGAGGCCCTTGAGGGTGGGGATTTGTGTTCGATTCATCTTGATATCCCTGGTGTCTGGCTTGGAGATTGGCAAATGGTGAACCAAATAAATGCCTACTCATGTGAAGAAATGAATGAACGAGTGAGTAAAAGCATTTCATAGGGATGAGGGTGTCAGGAGGCTTTCTGAAGGAGTCTAAGCCCGAGATGAACGGTAAGGGAGGGCTGGAGGTGTCCAGACGGAGGAGGCAGTGCTGGGCTGAGATACTCAAGGGGAAGGTCAGGGCTGAGGTGTAAAAGCGTATACACGTGCAGGTGCAGGAGAGCATGGAAATGGAGGACTTGAAGTTCAAGGTGGGGCATGGCGTGGGAGCAGGTCACTAATGGCCAGTCAGGGATGCCACGCCAGCTTCGGTGTCATTCCAGAGCCTCTGGGGCACAGCATGATTCAAATTCTGGGCCGCTGGTGCAGCAGGAGAGGAAGAGAGGGCAGAGAGCAGGTGCAAGACCAGCGGGCACATGGGGGGCTTCCCAGGCACTGGTGTGGAGCCCAGACTGCGGCAGTGAGGATGGTAGAGGGCACAGGTTCAAGGTGAACTGAGGAGGATGGTGACTGATGGGGGAACAGCATGAAGGAGAGGCCTCCCTCTGCTGCTGGGGGCACCATGGACTGAGATGAGGGGACAGGAGGAGGACTGGCTTGGGGACAAGGGAGAGGACTTTGATCTGCAAGCTGGCTAGCTGTGAGGTGCCTGTGGGGGCGTCTTTGACACGTGTGCCAGGAGCTCCTGAGCGGGCCCAGGGCTGGAGATGACAGTATGGGAGGCGTCAGCTGACAGATGCTCGCTGAAGTTTTGGGCGGGAGTGAGATCATCCGGGGAAATCTTCGAGTAAGGAGAGAAGAAAGCAGGGGGAGGACCCTGGAGGAAAACCATCCATTTAAAGAGCAGGAATTAATGACAACCTGTTAGAGGATAAAATGGGAATAGAAAACATTTATAGCAGCAACAAAAAATATAAAAAAAAAACCCTAGGAATAAACATAAGAAGAAATGTGCAAAATCTAAGTGGAGAAAGCATTAAAATGCTTCCAAGGGACAAAAAAGCATTTGAATAATGTTCTTGGATGGGAAAATGAACATCATAAAATTGTCCATTCTCCCTCAGATAATTCAGAATTTAATAAGATTCTCAATAACAATGAAGGCTTTGCTGTTGTTGTTTAGACAAACTGATTCTAATGTTCATACGGAAAAATAAACAGGTGTTGAGAGACGATTCTCCACGGTTTCTCATGATTCTGTGTGAGCAGCAGTGACTCTGGTCCAGGCTATCTTTGCAAGGAGGTCTGTGTGGTGAACACACTTGGAAGACATACGTAGTGTTGCCTTCTGGAGCACAGCGGAAGTATGCTTATTGTCCAGGACAATCCGGGTAATGCCTCCTCTGGGGCAAACATCCGGCAGGCTTCCTGCCTGTTATAAAACATCCGGGTTCCTCAGACTCAGAGTTCTTCTCTTGTACACGCCTGCTCTTTGCGCTGCTCTCTTCTGGACCCTGTGGCAGCTGGGGCTTGTGCACCTGTCATACATTACAACCACTGGTACTCTGGCAATTACCATTTCTGTGAATGATAAACTCTCGTGTCTTCTGCCAGCACCCAGGAAACAGGACAGACTAGCTTGCTGGGTCGCAAGCAAAGTAGGAACTCAGGGTGATGGGCGTTCAGCTTAGTGGTTGAGCAGCTCATGTCCCACACTGGAGTGCTTGAGTTGTACTCCGGGCTCTGGCTCCTGACGCCAGCCCTCGGATGCACTGGAGATGCCCCCAAGTAATTGGGTCCTTGCCATTCACGTGGGAAACCTGGATTGCATCCCTTGCTCCTGGTTCAGACCTGGCCCAGCTCTGGCCGTTACGGGCATTTGGAGAGTGAACTGGTGGGTGGGAGTATTCCCTCTCTCTCTCTCTCTCTCTCTCTCTCTCTCTCTCTTTGTTTCTGTATCTCTCAAATTCATAAAAATTCCCATCAGGATCTTTATGGGTCTTGGCAGTAGGAATAGCAGGGAAATAGCTGAAAAAAAAATGGCAGTAATGGGTGGGGTGGGTGGGGTAGGGTGGAGTGGGGGAAGGAGCATCCTGGTCTGCCCTACCATGAAAAGCCACACTATGTGAAACTGCGTGGTGCTGGAAAACTCAGAGCAAAATAAAATTCCAGAAATTGCACATAAAATTGAGGCTAAGATAAATATGTTTCCAACTGCTTGTGAAAATGTGGTATTCAACTCTACCACTGGAGAATTAGCCCCAACCACCTCACACTTCACAGTGAGATCAACTCCATACACAGCGGGGGGGAGGGGGAATGCGGCAAAAGAAAGCCGTAAATGTACCAGAAACATGGGAGAATTTTTAAACACCCAGAACAGCAAGATGACACTTAACCCAGAAGCCATAAAAAAAAAAGAGATAACTTCTTTTTGGCAAACTCCAACAGACACAAAATCAAAAGACAGACTTGCTATGTGTTTGCAACTCACATCCTTGAGCTAGTGTATTTCCCTAAGATCTAGGAAGAATTTCCACCAGTGAACATGAGACAGATCACCAACACCAGAGAAAGACGGCCACGGTGAAGGACTGGCCGGAACCTCAGGGACAATTTCCTCTGTGCACCCTCAGAGAAATACAAGTCACATTGCGTGGAGACAGCATCCTCATCTCTCAGTGTGGCCAAGATCAAAATGTTTGATACCACTCTGTGTGTGGAAACAGACGCTCATGCATTGCTGATGGGAGTGGGGATGGTACAGTTCCATGAGGGGAGATTTGGCAAGCTCTCTTGACATCACAAAATGATTTTTGACCCAGCAGTTCCATTTCTGAGCATTTATCCTAAGGAAAGAGTCCTGCGCATGAAAAACCGATGCGTGTGAGATTAGCTATTACACCATAATAGCAAAACCCTGAAAGCAGCCCAAGTAGGCATCAGAAGAGGGCTCTTAAGAATAAATCAACTACATGAAGAAAGGGTTGAGACGCTTGCGATGCACTGGTATGGAAAGTTCCCAAGGTGCACAAGAAATCTGCAGAGCACCCATGGAGTGTGTACTGTGAAAAAGCCGTGCACTGGCTTGCCAATATTTTGGCACCAAAATAAGCTTATCACTCAACTCCGTGTTCCACGATCTCTTTGAAGCACCCTCCGACTGCTGTGAGGAGAGCAGGGTGTACAGAGTGATCCCAGGCTTGTGAAAAGAGAAGCTAGTGTGTTTTGGGAGGCTCTGTGGCTGTATGTGTGCACATACGTGTGTTCATGCATAGCATGGCTGTGGGGGAGCATCCCAGAGACTGATCGCGCTGGTTACCGCCTGGGAAGGGGACCTGTTCATTGGGCGAGAAAGGAAATGTTTGCTCCTGGTGGGGTAGTTGGCCTACAGAGTCTGTGAGTTTTTGAAGTGCTTCCATGGGGGGAGGGAGAAACAAGTGGCTCTAGAATGAGAGGGGCTGAGTCAGAGTTTGGGTCCCCAAGTCGACAGTGACACCACCATCAGTGTCCCTGGTGTGTCATTGAAAAAAACATCAGAGCGTGGAATGTCCCTGGGGTTGGGGTTTTACAAGGAAGAGGTAGAGGGCAGATTGTAAAGGACGTTGATGGAAGATGGGACCACGGAGCCTGCACTGCGGAGACGACGTGGCAGGTGGGAGGAGGGGCAGTTTGGGGAATGCTGATGGATGAGGAGACGGATCTCCGTGGAGTTAATAGCTTCCCGGGAACGTCTGCGAGTGGGAGGGACAGGCAGGGTGGAGATGCCCGTGGAGGGCTGGGCTGGCCTGCAATCATGCTTGCAGAGCAGAGCATCATCTGCCAACAGATGCGGCCCCAAGCCTGGCCACCAACGCAGGTGCCTGGGGAGGAGGGGCAGGGAAGGTCATCAGGGCTGGGGCTGAGCCGCTGAGTGCCCACGGCACAGCTGTGTGGAAACTGACTGCTCCAGGGTGGGCTCTGGATGAAGACGAAGCCCACGGGCCTGGCGCTGAAGTCTTGTGTGATTTGGGGGACCAGGAGACCAGTGGGTGATGGACGGTGATAGGGGTTCTGGTGCCGGCTGATAGAAGGCACACACAGCTGAGGGGTTTTCAAATGTGGCTGTGGACTGTGGTCAGGAATGAGGGCCAAGGGCCCATGTGGAGTTTGTGGCACGGAGTACGTGGCAATGAGCAGCCTTCAGCAGCTGGGGCTCTGGGAAGCAGTGGCCTCTCCTTGTGGCGGGGTTCCCAGGTGCGACTCTGTCTACAGGTCCCTCCCTTTGCCTGGGGTGGCCGTGCAGTGTGGCTCAGGCCGTGGGGACAGACTGTAGGAGGAGGACTGCAGGACACTGGTTCGATTCCGTCCACCCTGGCAGGCCTCCTGGACCAGCTTGTGAGCTTTGGCACGGCTAAGCAGCTTGGCTGGCATTCGAGACAGGACATGCAGCGAACAGGACGCGCCCTCAGGGTCTTGCTCACCGGGGTCCAGGGATGACGTGGAAAAAGAGGCTGCTGTGGGTGCCAGGCCCTAGGCCGCCCTGTCGGCCACCATGGAACATCTGCGGGTCGCTAGTGGGTGGCAGCAGGGCCTTCAAATCCCTCATCTGCCCACAGGAATGAACTCGGGGTAGGGGCGGGGGGCAACTGAGCCCAAGCAGGGTGCTCGGGGCGGTTTGTGGAGAGTGACGATGTGTGACCCCTTCCTGACCTCCCAGGAGGGAAGGGCCCCCTCCATGGTGGCCAGAGACAGGCAGAAATGTCAGGAGGACTTGACCTTGGCCGCAGGAATCCGGAGCCATAGTCAC